ATATATATATATATATATATATAGGGTTGAGTTTAAATGAGGACAACAATATATAGAGGACTGTGAGGACAAATAATGGGCACACAACAAATTAATATCAGACACACAATTTAATACTTAATGGCACACAAGAATACATGTAAACATCAGGTTTTGAACTCAGACTCTATTAATTAACAAATCTATGCACGTGACATACAAACTGTGGCACACAACTACATTGACAACAATATATAGAGGACTGTGAGGACAAATAATGGGCACACAACAAATTAATATCAGGCACACAATTTAATACTTAATGGCACACAAGAATACATATAAACATCAGGTTTCGAACTCAGACTCTATTAATTAACAAATCTATGCACGTGACATACAAACTGTGGCACACAACTACATTCGGCCATGCACATGACATACAGGCTAATGGCATACACTATATCTGTTCTCACAGTCCTCTATAATATACTTGTCCTCATTTGAACACACACCTATATATATATATATATATATATATATATATATATATATATATATATATATATATATATATATATATATATATATATATATATATATATATATATATATATATATATATATATATATATATATATATTATTGAGGACATTATTGTAAATTGATCCATATAACCTATAATATAACCCTTAACCAAACAAGGTAATATTATATTCCACAATCCAAACCAAACACATAAAGTAATGTTACATTCCCAAAATCTCACATTACCTTCCTGGAGGTAATCCTATTACCCGGGGTAATCCAAGATTCCGTGAACCAAACGCCCCCTTAAGTTAGGCGACTACCAATTACACTAAACATCGGCTCCCGGGGCCTTTTTTTTTTTTTTTTTTTTTTTGAAAGCACTTCTTAGTATTACTTTAAGAGTTAGTCTACTATATGACCCGTCTCACTAATCATTATTTGTGAGAGGGGTCGGATTATTTGAGAAATAACAATTAAATCACCGAACTCAAATAACCTTCAAATAAGACATTGAATTTGGTAAAAAAGGGCAATTAACATTTTTAACAGGTTAACTCTAGATTTTTGCTGACTGAATTGCCAAATGTTTATTTTATTTACATTTTTTAAAATTATAATCCACATACATATATAGTAATATATTTTAGAGTTAATTCCACTAGAGGTCCTTTTGTCTTTGGTGGCAATTCCAAATTTAGTCCCAGACTATCGTTTTTGCCATTTTACATCCCATACTATTTTTTTTGGACACTTTTAATTCTTCTCATGACTTTTTCTATTTTTAGTAAGACCATTTTTGTCTATTTATATTTTTCTTTTGTTATTTTTTCGGTTTCAACCAGTTTAATTGGGTTTAGAACTTTAGGTAACATCTGATTTTTAGTAACCATATTTTTCAATCAATTTTTAGTAAAGTCCTAAACCAATTAAACCAGTCGAAACCAGAAAAATAACAAAAGAAAAATATGAAGAGACAAAAATGCTCTTACTAAAAATAGAAAAGTCATGAGAAAGACTAAAAGTGTCCAAAAAATGATAGTCTATGATGTAAAATGAAAAAAAATGATAGTCTGAGACTAAATTTGAAATTATCACCAAAGACAAGGGACCTCCGGTGAAATTAACTCTATAGTTTAAAGTAATTATAATCAAAATAGTTTTGTCTTGTCTACATACAATTTATTTATTTATTGTTATTTTTTAAACAAAAAATATAGTGAAAAAATAATAAATAAATAAATAAATAAATCAAATCTCGACAAGATAAAACTATTTTGATTATAATTATTTCAAAATATGTTATTATATGTAAGTGGATTATAATAAAAGAAACGTAAATAAAATAAACATTTAACAATCCAGTCAACAAAATCCTAGTTAACCTGTTAAAAATATTAATTGCTCTTTTTTTCGTGTTCAATGATTTATTTGCTTTTTTTTTTTTTTTTTTCGAGTTCAATGACTTATTTGAGGATTATTTGAGTTCGATGACTTAATTGTTGTTTCCCAAATAGTTCAATGGCTTATTTATACTTTATCCCTATTAATCATGGATAAATTGTTTGTTACTTATAAGAAAATAAGTGTAATACTTTTAAATCAAAATGTAATATTTGGGATTGAGTAGTTACTTATGAGAAAAAATGCAATACTAATCATTGATAAATTGTTTAATTGTTATTTATGACGAAAAATGTAATACTTTTTGATGAAAAATTTAATACTTTTAATCAAAATGTAATATTAAAAGTTGAAAAGTTATTTAATGATAAAAATTGTAATACTTATGTGGTAAAACTTAATACTTATCAAAAATCTGACAGTTTTCGCCAAATGAATTTGATTTTCTTTTCTAAAAGGTTATTCGCCAATCCACATCTTTTTGACGAATATTTTTTTTTAAAAAAAAAAGAAAAGAAAAAGCCCAGACGGCTGCCTATGTAGTTAGCCACGAAGGAGATCGAGCGTTTCTCGACGCGGTTAGACACGGCCTAACGTTTAGGCGCCATTTTTGTAAGTATGTGTCCAACTATTACAAAAATCTAATCCTGAAGTGATGGGGTTTGATGCCTATCTCTCTATGTAGTGTTGTGTAAAAAATTCTAGTTAATACGCTAAAACCCTGTTGAATGATTTATTTTTTGAGCACCAAATTAAGTGCTTTTGTCCCTGGGAGATCTACTGCTGATAAAGGCAGGGGAAAGAGAGCTTTGTTGCAGAACGGTCGCCGGAAGACCCAAAGCTGAAGGGCCACCCGTGCGCGTCGTCGAGGTCACCGGAAACGAAGCTCCCATGGTTGAACGCGTCGACCCACCTGAAAAAGGAAGATGCTGGAGTCTGTTAGAAAGCTCAGGTTGACCGGAAACCATGGCAGACCCTGGTGGAACACACTCGAGACGCCGGAAAAATGATCTGGCCAGGTTAATGGCGACATCTAGGTTCGATGGGCGCTGGGTCTCGACGTTGATGCGAAGCCATTCGTCCAGGCCGGCGGTGTAGAGATCCACTTCCTGGTCTCGCCGGACAGTTGTCGTACGCATAAGCATCGTCTGGAACGCATCATTGTACTGGTCGATATGCCGCCCGTCCTGGTTAAGCTTCGCTAGAGAACCCAAGGCGTTGCTACGAAGACCTGGGCCGAATTGCAAAAGACACAGGTGTTTAAACTGTTGCCAGCTCATGTCTGGTTCCTCGAGGTCCAACTGGAAGTGCCACATTTGTGCGACACCCGTGAGGTGAAAGGCCGCTATGCTAACGAACTCGTGTGACGGAGTATTCTGCGCCTTAAAGAACTGCTCGCAGTGATGGAGCCACCCGATGGGGTTGTCTCTACCGTCATAACGCGCGAACTCGAGCCGGGTGAATTTTGGAACAACAGATGGCGGAGCTTGGTCCGAGTCCGGATGAGTGTGGCTGCTGGAGGCGTCGGCGGGTCCCTTGGCAGTCATGAATTGCCGGAACATCTGCTGCAAGGAAGCTTGGTCGTCTTTCATGGCTTCAATGGTAGTTTGGAGTTGGTGAACAAGGATTGGTCGTCCATGAGGATGGGCTCTAATACCAAATTTGTTACAGTCCTCTGGCCTGGGATGGCGTCACTGGGCTGGAGGGGTGGGCCAGAGGAGACCTATGTTTGTAACCGTGAATAGGAGCAGAAAAAAGAATGAAAAGCAAAGGAAAAGTTTGAAGAATTGTGGAGTTGTTTTTCTCCCCAATGTCATTAGCCAAAAAAACAATAATGAGATGATCTGTAAGCTTTCATGCATCTTCAATTCTTTAAATACAAGGAAGAAGCAACGGTAATATAACATGAAAATAGGAAAATAAAAACAAAGCATAAGAATAGGAAAACTTAAAAAGAATTAGTCTATTTTTCAGCTTTACTCCTGTGGTCGGCTTTGATAATATTTCCCTGTGAATTTGGCAAGTCTGTAGACAACTAACATTCATTACTGGAAATTATGGAATTTCCCACCATCTGAAAGTGATTTAAATCAAATAAAAAGCAAAAAATGGTCGGAAATAGCAACAAAGGTTTTTCCAGATACTAGACTTTCGACTTGATTTAAGATGGGTCGGAAATTTCATAATTTCCAGTAGTGAATATTATGAGTCTAGTGTTCATATATTTGTTGAGTGGCAGTTAGGTAAGGATACATGGAGGCTTTTTAATCATCAAATTCATGGAGTGTGAACAATGGCTAGCCAACATGCTGAAACCACCTACTAGCTGGAAGAAGCTTGATGTCTTGATATGGCAAACAAGTTCAAACCATCATCCTCATTTCTCCGAGCAGTTCTGGCGGACGAGGGAAATCGCAGCAGCACAGATGAAACGCGTAAGTGTATGAATACTTTTCTGTACATGCTGTTCATTAAAAATGCAATCTTGTGCTGAATATTTTGGTTACTAATTTGCTCAATCGAGACTTTGGTATGTGTTTTAGCTGGAATATATTTTTGTTCTGAAATTCGATTTGAATAGGCAGAGTTAATTTTGTATTGGAACGTTAAGAACGTAAAGTTGAAGCAATGCTTTAAAATTAATTGTTTATGAAATTGCTCCGAAAAGTATACTGGTTTGAGAAAGGAAAGCAAAGTTACTGACTTACTACAGTATTCGATCACTTGTTTGTATTTACTGCAATGTGAGTGAAACAATTATGGAATTCCAGAACCCTTCATGAGCTATGCACTGTGCTATAGAAGTTCCTGTGTCTGAGAAACTGATGAAGTGAATGTATTTGAGTTATTCAGATCACAGTGATACAATCAGTTCCTCTGCATTTAATTTGTGCTGTGTTTATTCACCCGGCCAACTTGTAGATTATTCACATTTACATGTGAAATGACCAATCTTACTATGAGTTTATAGATGAAGTATATATGTTACACAAAAATTGAATTCATTATATTGGTATGCAATAGAGCAAATTTTTATACAATAAAATAAATTACCTGGCCTACATCTCAAGTGATCCAAAAGATTTAATATAATATAACTGAATAAAAGAGAATATAAATATTTGGATACCCAATGAACAAAATCCAGTGGAAGTAGTTGTATTCTTAATTAATGATAAATAGTAAATAATTGCTGTAAAGCAACGTAACAGTGATGGAAAGTGAGAGGAGTGATGCCAAGAAAAGTGTAGGCGTAATTGGCATTGCGCATGCTGAATTAGAGTTTGGTGGAATTGGAGCAATATTAGTTGGTGGTTGAGGAGACGTAACCGGGGATTTATTTGATGATGGAGCAGGCAGTGAAGTTGGTGATGAAGAAGAAGAAGAAGAAGGTATATTCGTTGATCCTTGAGGAGGAGACATGAGCGGTGTAGTTGGTGATAGTGACGAAGAAGGTATTATTTTAGATGCAATGGAGGGCGGCAAGATAGATGTGGTCCTTGCAGTGTGGCTTGGTGGCTGCAGGTGTGTCACTGGTGTTGGAGCCTTCACAGCTGCATGCCATGATGATGATGATAAGGCATTGGCTGAAGAAGATGAAATAGAGCTTTTAGGAGGAATAATCACTTCTAGAGTGAATCTTTTTGGAGCAGGACTCTGCTTGGACTTTGGTGAGTAGCTGCTAATTGGTGAAGAACCCACAAACCCTTTAGGCGAAGAAACATGTCTAGATGGTGTAATGGTTGATGATGATCCTTTAGTTGAACCAACCTCAGAAATTGACAATGTAGTACCCTTAGACGACCAGGAAGTAGTCCTCGTAGTGCCTACAGATGGTGCCGGATGTGGATATCGATGCATTATACAAAAAAACAAAAAAAAAAACATTACAATATAATATTTGAATCTTAAATTGTATGGTCGATATTCAAATTTTAATAACTCTAGTAACTAACAATGTATTTTAACTTGTTTTGCCTAGTCCAAATTCAACCTATTGAAAAGTCCTACAATTTTTTTTTTTTTTTTTTCAAACCATTTTGATCTATCTATTTGCTAGTTATTGTGGGAATGTGGGGTATGATTGGATCCACCAAAAATGCATATAATAAAATATAATGTAAAAATTTTAAAAAAAAAAAAAAAAACAAAAGAGAGCTAGAAAAACTTACAAATACTGTTATTAACATGAAATTTAAAATGTTGATCCCAGTGAATATTACCTCCAAAAGGGCTTAAGACCCAACCTTTGTCTCTTCCAATGATGTCAGCATAGGATGTTGATGAATAAAAATGGAAAGAGAGCAAGAAAACTAAGATGATGAATGGATGTCTGCGTGTATCCATTGTAGCGTTCTTTAATTTGTGAATGGATGTATGCATTACATATATACAGCAATTCAGAGTTATTAATTATATATTGTGCCAAGAAAAGAATGAAGACAAATAGGGAAGCTTGATGATATTGTAAGAGGGAAAGGTGAAATGAACATGAAACTGAAATGCTGATGAGATAGAAATAATTTATTATTATTATTCTTTTCAAAAGGTTGAACCCAACCCAAAACATCAGAGGCTAGACCTTTGTTTACTGTGTACAAGGAGCCCGTTGCTCCCACACTGTCACTGGTGAGACTCGATCTCTGGTCATTCTTTCCAACTTTCACCTCTATGACGAGTTGAGCTGCCCATGCGAGCTTATTATTATTATAGAGGGAGGAAATTGGGAAACTGAAGAAAGAGGCTATTGTTGCAAGATTGATATAAATTAAAGTATTTTTTAAAGGCAACTCTATCCAAGTTGGTCATTAGTTTGATAATCAAAATGTTGCAAGTTTGACTCCTGTGAGAGATGTCTATTTGCCTTGAGTTGAGCTGGTCAGCTATGAGCAACCTAGGTTGGTTACATATTGTAATTCTGGTTAGGATCGCAAGTAGGCTTCTCTCAATGCGCATCTTAAGATAACAGCTATGAGCATTTCCATAAATCAAAGTATTTTTTAAATTTATTGACAAACTATATCAATAATATTAAGTAGGGCAATTAAGTATTTGGGTATTGCAAGATATTTTTCAATCCATACATATTTTTGCATATGGCATTTGGCCAGACTAATTTGGACTTGGATTGAGACGTGCATAAAGGCTCTAATTGAAGAAAAAATTTGATCCAGACTTGAATGTTGAACCTTGTAATCACATACTTTTTTGAGCATTATGTATAGATTGTTTACCTTTTAAGAATTTATTTGCAATTACTCTATTTTAAGTCTATTCTTTGAACTAATTACACTATTTGAATAGTGTGACCACATGTGATGGATGTACCAAGCCCAGCCCGGGCCAGGGCCCATTCAGTGATGTCCAATTGAAGCAACAAAAGGAGAAGAAGAGCAGAGAGCTCACCTCTCTCTGTAAAGGAATTGAGGCTTCATTTTCACTCATCAAACTTTACTTACACACACACTAACAAGCTCTGAAGCAGCCATGGAATTGAAGAGTCACAAGCTTTCTCACTCTAACACACAACCTTAGTAAAAAAAATCACGAATTTTACCTTTCGAGATTCTATGTGACCAAGATTGTGTCTCATTCCTTGAACTTCTGTGTTCTTCACCGACAAATCTCATCTCATACAATTAAACACAAATTAAATATAAAATGCTAATATAAACCAATATTGCACTCGTTATATCCAATACCAACAAATTGATTGGATTATATGATAGTTTTATAGTTGATCTAATATTATCAAATGTTATGTTAAATTTTTTGATACATGTTATCTACATCTATCTAAAGCCCTCATTCTTAAACTAAATTGATTTATAATTTAATTTTTATATTAATTAATTTAGTATTAGTGAACAACGAGTTTTCATTACAATTTACAATGCTGTGTTATTAAATATAAAAAAAAAAAAATTGAAATGACCTTTACTAATATGTAACAAAGTAAAATGAGATCCAGAGATTATAATTATTATGAAGCTAATAATAATAAAAATTGTCATTATTTTGATATACATACAATTATATGTAGATCAGATAGATGCATTAGATTGGTAGAAAGAGGGTGGTCTCACTTCTCAGCATTGCAGAGAAGAAACATGAAACTGATTATGTAGTTTTTCTAGAATATAATAAAATTCCAATCAAATCCCAAAAAAAAAAAAAAAAAAAAAAACACTTATTGATCACGTACGTAGAGCAGAAAAAGAAAGAGTTGCACCAGGCCGGGCAGTCTGTATGATATGAGATCAATCTTTCTTGGCTTCTTCTTTGTGTTTAGCTTCTTCTTTGGGTTTTGCAGGTGTATCATCTTTGACTTTCTTTGGCTTCCCTGCCTGGGGTTTCATGAAGCAGAAGCAAGAGCAACATGGGCACTGGAACAAGAATTTCATGGCTGCAGCTACCAGTCTGCAGATATGATTCCTTCAAAGATCAGATCCGATATTGTTCTTTCCAATTCGATCTGCAGATAACTCACTCACTGCACTCTGTGATCTGTATAATAATGGGAATGCCAAAAAGTTATGGCCTTTTCCTTCCTTTTATGCCCACCCCCTTTGTCTAATAATTGCATTACCCATACTGTGCAAAATGGTTAGAATTACTCAGACACACACAGGTGCTGTCACAATTTACTGATCAGTAAGTTGGACAAACGTAACCAACACTGTCAGCTCACTCATTATTATTATTATTATTTATTAATAGTTTGCGAGTGTATATACATACATAATCGAATAGAAAGATGCAATTTTATATCAAACAGACATTATGTCCAAGTGAATATTGACTCCTGAAAGAAAATGAAGAGGTGAGGAAACAAGGAGCATTGTGAGAAAATTGCTACTAATACAACTCCGATCCATGCTACAAATATTTAGGTGCTTGTAAGTTAAATGAGACACAACTTATAATTTATCTCTTCTACCCGATTTCATGATAGAAATAGTGAATGAATTTTAGTTTCGAATTCAAAGTTATAAAACAATTTGAATTCAAATTAAATGGAATAAACACTAGAGTTCATTGTGAATGTTAAAATAGTTCCATAAACACCATTATTAAGTATAAATAGTAATTAAAAAATAAAACTTGATCATTATTCATTGGATACCAAATCAATCACTTTCACTTTAGAAAAGAAGCCTACCAACCTAGTGGCTAATACAGCTAGGGTTTGTGGTGGGCAAATGGTGGGGTTAGCCATGGGAGGTACAATGAAGGTGGAATTATCTGTATGGGACAATTTTTATTGGCCCCATGCATTGAAAAGGTGGGGCTACTTTTCATTTATATATGTGTCCCCTCCCATGCACATACACATGCATTCATCTCTTGGCTGGCAAGCATTAGAAATGAAGTAGTCATCCTGGTAATCAATTTGGAGTGTAATATTAGTTTTCTTTTACTCGTATTTATTTTTTTCACTTGTAAAATTCTTTTACTCGTATTTATTTTTTTCACTATTGTAAAATTACTAGTGGGTGCACCCGCGCGATGTGCGACTATATATATAGTATGATATATATACAGTATAGAATATAGTTATTTGAACCTGAATAAATGTGAAATGAAAAACTTGTGATTTTATTACACATTGATGAATTCAGTAATTTTATTAGACATTGTTGAAGACTTCATTGTTGAAACAATGTGATGCATGGCTACCTATATAACACATAGAATATTGCGTATAATATAATAAGAATAAGAAACATAGTATTTAAAAATATAGTACATTTTAAATAATAAATTGTGGAATGTTATTATACATTATTGAAGACTTCGTTGTACACAACATTTCGCCACAAATCAAAAATTTTAAACCCCTTGGGTTACTAACTCTTGAAACAGCTACGTACAATTGGTCATGGTTAAAGACAGGTCTTTTCAACAGCAATCCCACTTTAGAAAGTGTTTGTCCTTGACTTTTGTTGATTGTCATGGCATAGGATAACATCAACGGGAATTGCTTCCGTTGAAATTTGAAGGCATTCTTGGATCTGACGGTGTAAGTGACATTCTAGGAATTAATACTCTTGTTCCTGCATTTGTACCGCACATGATCTTGGCTTCCAACACATGATCAGCTAACCTAGTAACAATCAACCTTGTATCGTTGCATAATCCTAGTGTGTGATCAATATTTCTCAAGAGCATAACAGGTGACCCAACTTTCAATGTCAAAGAATGATTTGGTACTCCAGAACATCTTAGGCCATTCAAGAATTCGGGAGTGTGCAAATCTGCTAACATATCAACATTTGAATCTGACTTACAAACAGAATCACGACTCAAGTAAGTCCTACCCTCAGTAGGATTATGATCATTTATGTATTGGTTAGTGCTATCTACCACATCCAATGTTGGAGCCAAAATAGCACTATCATTAAGATATGACAGATCGCCAATCCCCAGTCTAAAATGAGGGAAGGTGCTATCGACCATTGTAGCAATAGGGTCATCCTCGCACTTCAGCAATAAATGTTCTGGAACTGTAATATCTGACTCACCATCACTTGAATTACCAACATTTCTGTCACCTATATTAGCTATCCATTTTGCAAACTCCTCAATCTCTTTACCCTCGATTTGTGATTGTACACTTCTTAGGCGTAGATTATTAGTTAGCCTAAATACTTTGCAGGATTTCCAAAAATATGAGGAACTACTAATGCTCGCCCGAACAATATCCTGTCTTGTACCCTTTGAAATTACTGGTAGAATCTGCCTGAAATCGCCACAAAAAAGAACTGTTTTACCACCAAATGTCATTTCATAACTACTTGGATGTTTGAAGCGCAACAAATCCCTCATAGTTCGGTATAGAGCTTCAAAACAAAATCTGTGCATCATTGGGGCTTCATCCCATATTATCAACTTGCTTTGAACAATAAGCTCTGCTAATGGACTGTCGTGACTTTTGTTGCAAGTGGAATCTTCATTAACAGATATCGGTATGACAAATCGAGAATGTGCAGTTCTTCCACCTGGTAATAAAAGCGAAGCTATGCCGCTAGATGCAACATTTAACACTATTTCCCTCTTAGACCTTAAAACGGAGGACAATGCTTGCCACAAAAATGTCTTACCAGTCTCTCCATAACCATAAATGAAGAATAACCCGCCAGCTTTGCGATCAATATCTGTTAACACCTCATTGTATATGAAATTTTGCTCTTCTGTTAACTGCCTTACCAATTCCTGGTTCTCTTTCTCTTGATCCACACAATCATATGATAATTCTTCTTGTATAAGCCTGTTTGATATAACATTAAAGGCCTCAAAATTGGCCGTTGACATTTCAGGAAAGTACTTCAAACTCTTACCATGAATTGATAACAGCTTTTCAATCTCCACTAAATAAAATTTAGTATGCATTTATAAAAAAATAATTTTAAACTAAATAAGTATACATACATATATATATATATATATATATATATATATATATATATATATATATATATGTACATACATACATACATACATACATACATACATACATACATACATACATACATATATGCAAGTACCAAAAAATAACAAATTTCATACTGAATAGCATAATTCAATTTAATGAATAGCAACCTAAAACAATGAGTGCATTAAAAATTAATTTTAAAATTTATATACATATAAGTGATTAATATATTTTGATATTAATACAAAATATATCTAACTAAAATTAATAAATCTTAACTCAAATTTAGTATGCATTTATAGAAAACTACATGATGAGCACCATTTTTAACCTACATTTGCCTAAATAAGTAGAGATACATATATTTGTGCACCATTTTTCAAAAATACATTATTAATTTACTACAATTTTTATATAGTATACATCAAATAAGTACATTATGGTATATATAATAACATACCATATATGTTTAGTAAATTAAAGAATATAGTTATATATATCATAACTAATAAGTCTCAAAATTGTCAACCTACATTTGTATGTACAAAAAAATTGCCCAAATCCTATATATAAAAAGCTGACCTCACCTTACAGTATAGTAGTTGACTTATTTCTTTATCGATCTCTGAGTTTGAACCCTAACCTTGGTAATTTAATTCTCCAAAACGAAATTTTAGTGGGTTTCTGATCTTCGATTCTTAGGCTATGTTCATTTCATGATGTTGGTCTCTAGCCCTAATTCTAGAATCTGCTTAAAACGAACACTAGTACAAAAAATATCAATAAGATCGTATAAATCGCGTCCAAAGTTACAACTTTGGACGCCGAATGTGTAGCGCGGTGGCAATTTTGTAATTAAATTGCCACTATATATATATATATATATATATATATATATATATATATATATATATATATATATATATATATATATATATATATATATATATATATATAGACCAAAGTTCGCGTCCAAAGTTGCCAACTTTGGACGCGAATGACTTAATGCAGATATAATTCGCGTCCAAAATTGGCAACTTTGGACGCGAATTAAATTTCTAATCTACCCCCAAATCCAATTCAGCATTTCAGCCCGCTCTCCGTCCTAACCCCCCAAATCAGACCTCTCCGCCGTCTCCTTCCTCCGTCTTTCAATTCGCTCGCCGTTCATCGTCCGCCGTTCAGACCTCACACCGGCCAGTCGTCGCTGCTCCTCGCACGCCAAGCACCGCCGGTCTCCGCTGCTGCTAACACGCCAACCACCGCCGGTCGCCGCTGCTACATCGCACGCCACCACCGCCGCTGCTACGAACGCCAGACGCCGGTCGCCGCTGCTACATCCCCCGCCACCACCGTCGCTGCTACGAACGCCGGCAGAGGTACGGTGAGTTTGTTTAATTTTTTTTTTTTTTTGTTATTTGTTATTATTGTTTATTGTGTATTATTGTATATTTGTTATTGTTGTTTATTGTGTATTATTTGTTATTGTTGTATATACAAATTTGTTGTGTTATTTGTATTATTTGTTTATAGAGATTGCACCTTTACCGTATAATTTTATAAATGTTTTAATTTGGATAATGTTGTTACTTGGTTAAAATATTAATAGTTATTTTAGTAGTTGTGGATCAAAGGTTATTGTAGCATTGGTGGAAGAAAATTACCTACATTGCATTTGATGTATTCGTAAATCATTAATTATTGTATTATTTGTTTATTGTATATACAAATTTGTTGTGTATTATTGTATAAGTTAGACATTGTTGACAAATTCGTTGTGTATTATTGTATATGTTAGGTATTGTTGATAAATTTAGTTAAAGCTTTAATTTGAACCTTTAAGTTATAACTTAAGAAACTAACTCATTTATCATTTCTTAAATGTTGTGTGACAATATATAGGAGATATGGATCGGAGTTGGATGTATAAAAAGCGCAATACACTTGAATATGTTCATGGGGTTCAAGAGTTTGTTAAAATTGCCGAGGAATATGCAAGTAAAATTGGTGAAAATTATATAGTGTGTCCTTGTTATGATTGTAGAAATCTAAAAAAGTTTCGTAGTTCTGAACAAATTAAGGAACATTTGATACGTCGTGGTTTTAAGATAGGATATGACCGGTGGATATGGCATGGTGAAACTGTCCTTACTAGTAACAGTACAAATCAAAGAGAATGTAGAAAAAATCAAGAAAAAGATCAAAGTAATGAAGATAATGTTAGAAATGATGGAGACAATGATCGGCTAGATGAATTGATGCGGGATATGCAAGGGGATTTGAATCAAATGCCTCAAGAGTTTGAAAGTTTTTTTGAGAGTTCTGGAAAACCTTTGTTTTCTGGATGTAGTAAATTTACAAAGTTATCAGCAGTGCTTAAATTGTATACCGTAAAAGCAAAACATAGGTGGAGTGATAAGAGTTTCATGGAGTTATTAGAGCTTTTAAAGGGCATGCTTCCAAATGAGAATGAACTTCCTAGTTCAACTTATGAGGCAAAGAAAATGTTATGTCCGTTGAGTATGGAGATTGAAAGGATCCATGCATGTCCAAACGACTGTATTTTGTATTGGAATCAAAACAAAGACTTGCATGTGTGTCCAAAGTGTGGAGCATCGCGTTATAAACGAAAAGGGCTCGATGATGCATGTGAGCAGAAGAAAGGTCCTCCAGCGAAGTTGTTGTGGTATCTACCGGTGATTCCAAGATTCAAACGTTTGTTTGCAAATGCAAAGGATGCGAAGAATTTGCAATGGCATGCTAGTGGGAGAAAAGAAGATGGAAAGTTGAGACATCCTGCCGATTCTCCTCAGTGGAAGAACATTAATAAGAAGTTTCCTGATTTCGGTGCTGAAAATCGAAATCTTAGGCTTGGACTATGCACTGATGGAATGAACCCTCATGGTAACATGAGCAGTCGCCATAGCACTTGGCCAATTCTCTTAACAGTTTACAATCTTCCTCCGTGGTTGTGTATGAAGCGCAAGTACATCATGTTATCATTGCTAATATCTGGTCCTAAACAACCAGGAAACGACATAGATGTGTACTTGGCACCGCTTATTGAAGATTTAAAGATGTTGTGGAATGTAGGTGTGACAGTATTTGATGCTCATAGTCAAACCAACTTCACTTTACGAGCCATGCTGTTCTGCACAATCAATGACTTCCCAGCATATGGTAACTTGTCAGGGTATACTACTAAAGGGGCTAAGGCATGCCCTGTTTGTGAAGATGAAACAGTTGATCTTTGGTTGAACAACAGTAGGAAAAATGTGTTCATGAGTCATCGAACCTTTTTACCTATTGACCATCCTTATCGAAAGAGGAAAAAAGCTTTCAATGGAAAATCTGAGACTGGAGTTGCTCGCTTACCATTATCAGGGGATGTTGTTTATGATCGAGTGAAAAACATTGATAATGTGTGGGGAAAAACTTCAAAAACAAGTCAAAAGGGTATTTGGAAAAAGAGGTCTATATTATGGGATTTACCATATTGGGAGCACTTATCTGTTCGACATTGTCTTGATGTAATGCATGTGGAGATAAATATTTGTGATAGCATTATCGGGACATTGTTGAATATTCAAGGTAAGACGAAAGATGGTATTAAAGCTAGAAAAGATATGGTAGAATTGGGGATAAGGACTCAATTAGCAGCACAGGAATCTGGAAAGAGGGCATACTTACCTCCAGCTTGTTATACTCTGTCTAAAAAGGAAAAACAAGTTTTTGTAGCTGTCTAAATGGTGTCAAGGTTCCTTCTGGCTATTCATCTAACATTAAAAAGCTTGTTTCAATGAAGGACCTTAAATTGGTTGGTATGAAATCACATGATTGCCATGTGCTAATGCAACATATGTTACCTATTGCTATTAGAGGCATATTACCTAACCATGTTAGACAAGCAATTACAAAGCTTTGCTACTTTTTCAATGTCATTAGTAGTAAAGTTGTTGATCCTGAGGTGTTGGATTCTTTGCAAGCTGATGTGGTAGTAACTTTATGCCAGTTTGAAATGTATTTCCCTCCATCATTTTTTGATGTTATGGTGCATTTAACAGTTCACTTGGTGTGGGAAATTAAAATGTGTGGTCCTGTATTCTTGAGGTATATGTATCCATTTGAGAGATACATGGGAATTTTGAAAGGATATGTGAGAAATCGATATCGGCCAGAGGGGAGTATAATTGAAGCTTATGGCGCTGAAGAAGTGATTGATTTCTGTACTGATTATTTGGCTAATGTTCAGTCCATTGGTGTTTCTAAATCACGTCATGAGGTAAGACTCACAGGAAAAGGTACCATTGGGTTTAAAACACATGTCCCAAGTCAAATAATCCGAAATCAAGAACATCATCTCGTACTGCAGCAGCTTTCTGAGGTTCATCCATATTTGGAACAACACTTGTCTATTATAAGGCAAAAAAATCCTTCTAAAGGTGAAATGTGGGTGACAAAAGAACACAATTCTACATTTATCACATGGTTCAAAGATACAGTGATGCAAGAGTTATCTCAAGTGCCAAATAATATCACTGAAACCATTAGATGGTTATCGTATGGCCCTAGATTTGTTGTGAGCACTTATGAGGGATATGATATTAATGGGTATATGTTTTACACAAAATGTCAAGATCAAAAAAGTATAGTGCAAAATAGTGGAGTGACATTAGTAGCACAATCAAGAGAGTATTCTAGTGCTAAAGATACTAACCCGGTAGATGCTACTATGTCATACTATGGAGTCATTGATGAAATCTGGGAACTTGATTATAAGGTGTTTAGGATTCCTCTATTCCGATGTTCTTGGGTTGATAACAGGCGGAGTGTCCATGTAGATGATTTGGGTTTTACCTTAGTTGATTTTGGTCGGCTAGGATATCATGATGAACTGTTTATACTTGCATCTCAAGCTAAACAAGTCTTCTATGTTTCTGATCCTATTGATAGTAAGTGATCAATTGTCTTACAAGGCAAAAGAAGTATTGTTGGTGTTGGTGATGTTGTTGATGAAGAGGAATATGACCAATTTGATGAAACCCCACCATTTTCTATTGGTATTCAACATGTGACTTTATGTGAAGATAACATTGATACTAATTACATGCGTACTGATCATGAAGAAGGGTTGTGGATTGATCATCCGACAGTATAATTTCTATAATGTAATGTTATTATTATTTTTTAACATGGTTATATTTTATAAGATGTTCTTTATAACATATTTATCTTATGCATGTGCAGGTATATATATACATGGCTGACGATCACACAGATCCGGTGGTGGAGGAATCTTCAAAGGGAACAGAGAGCAAAGTGCATAAAGCAAGAGGAGCTACAACTTGCAGTAAAATGACAAAGAAGAGACCAGAGGATGAGTCTAAGGCAATTGAGTTTGATGAGAAGAATAGGCCTCTTGGGCCAAATGCAAGGAAGTACTCAAATTACCTTGGCCTTATGGTTCGTATTCACATAGACATAAACATTCCACACTGGCGTCTTGTTCCAACTGCGGTTAAAGATGCAGTCTGGGATGAACTTAAGGTAATAGTCAATAATTTAATTTATATATTGATCATTATTTCATTTTAGTTTTGAGTTCATTAGTTTATATATGTTAATGTCAATAAAGGCCTAATTATTTGTTATTTTATTGTTGATTTTCAGAAAGAGTTTAATATCCCTGAGTCGAGAAGAAGTCATATTTTGGTCCATGCACGGCTACATTGGAAAGATTTCAAAACAAGATTGGTCCGTGACTTCATCAACAAACAGAACGAAAAATATAGCTCTCCCTGTGAGTTATATAAGTTCATGGATGAGAAAAAATGGGAGCAATTTGTAACCACGCATGAAACTGAAGCTGCCAAGGTACAGTACATAATTTAATTCCTTAATAATCATGTAACATGGTTATTATGAACATATTATTAAATAATAACTTTTGTGTAAGTAGGCCAACAGTCAAAAGTATAGGGAGTTGCAAGCGCGAAATGTGCATCCTCACTATTTAGGGCTACGGGCTATGCTGGAAAGCAGTCTGAGTGGTTGATATGCGACCCATTGTCTTCACAATCTTCTTGTGCGGCTATTACCTCGAACATATCATCTACTGATCGTAGTTTGGATTGGGTTCGAGCGCGATCTAAAAAATCTGAAGATGGAAGTTATTACATTCCTAATGAAAAAACGAAGGGAGTGTTGGATAAAATTGTAAGTAATACAAATACTTTAAATATATATATTATTGACGAGATTACTAGCTAACATGTAAATTTTAAATCTTTTTTTTTTTTTTTTTTTTTTTGTGTTGAAATATAGGTTGAGAAGTGTGAAGAGATAAGTCAAGGCTCATTCCAACCAAAAAGGCAAAATGATGTATTGACAACAACTCTTGGCACCAATGAGTACGGTGGTTATGTGAGAGGTGTTGGAGTGTACTCCAATATTAGGGATGTGTTTGGTAAACCGGAGAGCATAAGTCGTGGAAATTCAGCTGGGCTTGTTTCAGTTAGTGATATGGAGAAGATCATAGAGAAGAGAATATATGACAAAGTGGCTGAAAAGATTAGAAAAGAAACAATGGAAGATATGCAGCCCAAGTTTGATTTGATGCAATCCCAACTGGAATATTTGATGAAGAATGTACAAGCAAGTCCAAAAGTTGGCACACCAACTCGGAGCAGTTGTCATTCTATTGATCAAGTCAACAAAGTTAAGGTAATATTGAATATCTTTAATATTTTGAATATTTGATATTCAATCTACTTGTTATTATGTCTTTACTTTTGATTCATAGGAAAATCCAAAACAAACCCGAATGATGAATTTTGAAAGTGGTGATCAATCTGCTGTCCAATTACGACCACTTCTTGTTGATGATGATACACTGCAGCAATTGGGAGATGAATCTAAGAAATTGGTCAGACTTATTAAGAACCTGCCTTTCGATTTAGATTACATTAACGTGGATCTCGATGAGGCAATCTTCCATCATCAAGATGTGGATTTCATTCACGTGTTGTTTCAAGATATTAAAGACTTGTTGACGATGCGATGGCTTGATGTGACCATATTACAAATATTTATAATGTAAGTATTTTTTATAATGTTTTTATATTTAAAAACTTGTCTTTAATTAGTCGTTCATTTTTATTAATTATCTATATATATGTTGTAGATGTCTTAGTCGGTTGTGCTCCAAAATTGGAGTTCATACAATTGGATTCCTCTGTCCAAGGACTATTTGTGCTGACTCTGTACGTGCGGATATTGATAAGGTCTCAAAATATCTTGTGAATGCCATGGTTGAACAGACGAATCGACACTTCATTTTAGCTCCATACCATGAAAAGTAAGAAAACTATATTTATATTTTTAATTATTTGTTTAACTTAATTGCATTATTTGTGAATAACACTTAACATATTCATTTAAATGCCTTAGAAATCATTGGATGCTTCTAGTTATTTCTGTTCCATTAAGAAAAGTCTATGTATTAGACTCCATTGCAACAAGTGATCGCGAGTTTGAGATTAAGGCCATATTGAATGTGTAAGTACACACACACACACACACACACACACACACACACACACACACACACACACACACACACACACACACATATATATATATATATATATATATATATATATATATATATATATATATTATATTTTGAGAATTATTATTAACCATTATTGTTTATAAATTATTTATGATTGTATATTATAGGGCATTTCGATCGGTTGAAACTTTAGGAGGGAGAAGATCTAAAAACAACGTTGATTGGGTTCATATTGAGGTATATATATCTTTCATATTTCATATTAATATTTTTATTGTTTAAAATATTAATATATAAACATATTTTCTAGTGTCCTCAACAACCGGGTGGTGTGGAGTGCGGGTATTATGTGATGAGATTCATGTATGAAATA